TCTCAGCCCCTGATGTATGTGCTCGCTGCTTCCCTTCCCACTCTCGCTCTCTCTTTCTCCCTCTCAACTTTCACTGACTGTCTTTCTTCTTCCCCCGGTCTTCCTCCACCCTCCATCTTTTTCCTTGCTTTTGATTATCGACTGCGACCCAGAACTCATGCGAGCAAATCTATCGGAATTTCATCTCTGCCTTGCTTGCAATCACTTTCACTTGCACACTCGCACATACATAGGTTCTATGGTGTCCCACTCACTATCAGCACAGACACACACACACATTCGCACAAACCTATTTTGTTATTCTTTCCCTCGACACTTTAATCACAAATGCTGGGACTGTACATAATCCAGACTAGACTCAAGCTGCTCACTCATTTCCTCTGTTTATCACTCTGTGATAAATGAGAAAGATGTTTTTCCAATTCCACAGCGAGAGATGACGTTACAATCTTCGGGACTGAATTAAAGAAGTTTTTTGGTGAGTTGCTTGGCGTAGCTTCATGACTAAATGGATGCTAAATGTCTCTAAAGTAACAGGAGAGAAACAGAATGCTCTTTTATGGATTCCTGTGGGGAAACTCTCTGCACTTCAAACAGAAAGATCAGAAGTCCATGTTAAGGTGCAGAACAGTGCAGGTTAACAATCAAGGACGCCGCTGAAGGGTGGATGTTTGGCGACACTGCTTTAGCCTCTGGTTGAAGGGCATTTTTTTCTGAAAGCAAAGCTCTTTCAGGATGTTAAAAATAAACAAAGGGAGGCAATTTTCTATTTTCTTGCTGGCTCTGAATTCTGTGGAAATCCCAAAATTGTGTTACCACTTTTCCCGAGTCTTTCTCATAACATCCTGTGCCAATCCAAGCTCATTTGCTTCAATTGGAGACAGAATAGGAGGATTTTGTGCCAATGTCATCAAAGATTTATGTTTTCTCTCCAAATAAGAAGGTTTCAGAGGGGCAGAGAAAGGGTTGCTGCAACTAAAACACTTGGTGGAGGGTAAATAAAGACCATCCCAATGGCTAACAATCCTGCATGTGTTAATGGAGATCCAACAGAATTTTACACAACTGTTCTTATATGCCTTTTAATTGATTTTGTCAATATTTTGAATTCAGTAAGTTAAAAAAAAAAAGGAAAAGAGGGGGAAAAGGTGTATTTAATAGGTAGAAAACATAGCTTGCAATTTTTGGTGAGTCAAGTAACAAAATTGTTTGTTTGTGTGTTTATGAGCAAAGTAACCTGTCGTAAAATGTATAATTACAATCATTTTCCTTTGGTGATGAATCTGATGGAAAGACACGTTTTGGCCAACAGCTCAGGTTTGTTACAGATCTGCAGAGTAAAACATTTGATATTGGAGTTAACACGGTTGATCATCCTTGATATTTCATTTCATGTTATTAGCGTCGGACTGGACACCTACGCACAACAGATTAATGTAGCAGTCTAAATTAAATCTATCGATTAGCCATATGATCGAATCCACCACCAAACCATCCTACAGTTTCACACATGAATGTCACATATAGTACACGTTAGTGCAGCACTTCATAAATTTACTTCATACTTCATTGCACATAGGTGTATGTTTTAAAAAGCAATACATGTAAATGTGCATTTTCAGATTTGTTCATTGTTCATTTTTGTAGGATGTGCATGTGATTTTTTTTTTTTGTTGGTTTGTGGATTTAATTCTTAAAACACTTGCATTTTTAAGAAGATGTATTAAAATATATTTGTTGAAGACTCTTTATTGATTGTGGATTTGGTGGTTTACAGATCATTTGCAGCAGCAGGACAGTGAATCCACGATTGCTTCAACATAAACAACAGTGTGCGTTCTGGCAACAAAATATCATGTAACAAATCCAGTAAAACAGTCTGGTTTTAATGACTAAAATCTGTCTTTTTGTGTGATTTCTTGATTTTATTTATTTTTATTTTACAGAACAGGAAAAATAATTACTTGAATGCTGACACAGTGTATACTTTCCAAACGATTGTTTTAAAAGTTTCATTTGACCCTTAAGGAAATGTACTAGAAAAGTTTCACTCTGCACTCAAGTGCACACATATCCAGAAGTGAAACCTTCACATAAAATTCAATATTGTTTGAATACTGATGGATTTTCTTTAACAGTGTCTTGAGAAACCATGAGCCCACGATCAATAATTAATGCACATTTATGCGATTTAGTCCAGTTATTCTCCTCAATCTCTGCTAACCTTTTAATATTTCACTGCGGGTGGCTGAGGCCAATCTACTTCCCCGCTTTTTATTTTTAGCTTCGATCCCAAATATTGCCCTATTTTGGATTTTCAGACTGTTTCTGATGAGGACAGGAAGAGACAGAGCGAACTGACACTTCACTGGAGACCACAGAGCTGCTTAAATATTAAATGGATGGACAGTGGTGACACAGAAAACGCAATCTTCTTTTCCTACGGGCTTTATATCCAAATCCCAGTGGCAATTGTCTGGTCAACAAAACAGTCAAGGGATTTAGAGTCGGAAAGCCCCTCTGGAAATTTTAGTCTGAGTGCAACTGGAGTATTCCTGTGTATTATTTGTTGTTAATTTCTTTGTGAAAATAAAATTCTAAATAGCTGAAACTCTAATACCCATACAAGCACCTTTGATGTTATCACTAACTGGAAAGTAGCTATCTTTAAGTGAAGTCTATAATAATAATGTTTTCATTACTATTATAGGTTTGATTGTACATAGGCTTTATTAGGATAATGCAATCAGTGTCTGTCTCTCTGTGTTAGCCCTGTGATAGACTGGTTGACCAGTCCAAGCTGTACCCCATGTGTCAGTAATGGCTTACTTGGAAAAATAGAATGAACGACAGTAACTGCAATGCATTTCAGCATCTAAAGTGAACCCAAAATTTAAGGAAGGTGTATTTGTTGTTGACTTCAAAAGAAAACGGAAGCCAACTGAAACAGCAGCTTGGGAAGCGTTCGTGCAGGATGTCCACAATTTTCTGGGCAATCACAGAGGATTATGCTGAGCTTGTAGATAATGTGCTGAAAGCGTATCAGTTAATGGGCACCAGAATGTCACTGAAGATGCACTTTTTACATTCTCACCTCGACTTTTATCCCCATTGAACCTGATCGATGTTAGCGACCAGCATGAGGAAAGATTTCATCAAGATATAATAGTGATGGAAAAGAGATATCAGGGAAAATGTAATCCGAGCATGATGGCTGACTACTCTTTGCTCTTGCAAAGAGAGACGGATGTGCAGCATGAACGCAAAAGCAAGGGCCTCAAACATTTTTAGAGCATGCTTGTTTTATTTTGAGCTAAATTGACAGCAATATGCTGTGGTATGTTTTCAGAATAACAAACATATAACAAACATATTGGTAGGAAATAGTTCCAGACATTGTGTTGGTATATTTACACTGATGTTCAAACATATCAAATCGTCAGTGACATGCATCTCAGAAACCTTAACAAGTAGCTCAAATTAGATTTCGTATCAGAAATCAGTGCAACAACTTAGAGCTAAAGAGCTACTCTGATGTTCCCAGTAGCAAACAAAACCTCTTTTGTTTTGTAGACCAGAATTATTTTAAGTTTCTTACAGTGCCCATTTCCATTAGGCCTTATTGCAGTGATGCCTAGCTTCTCTTTTTGTGGTGCACCTGCAAGTACTGAAGAGAACAGTGTACCCTGTCGCCCACATTAGTAGGGTCCAATGTGGTTCAGAGCCATTTTTATTTTTATGCACTGCCTCTGTTCATCGACATAAATCTGAAAATACATATCACATCATGAAAATAGCCGCTGTTGCCATGTCTTACATCCCTGACGGTGGTCTAAAACTGTCATCACAAAAGACCTAACTAGTTTGCTTTAACTTGTTCTTACAAGTGGCCAAATATGGAGAACAATGAGGACCTAATTCTGTACTGACTGATTATGTTTTATTTCACCATTTTATGAACAGAAACATGTGTTTTTTCCTCGTTCACAAAAGTGGCAGAACAGTGATGTACCAGGAAGCAAAAGAAATGGATAATGAGAATTTCACAGAATTTTAACGTGTGTAAAACGGGGGG